ATGGCCTCAGCAATTAGCCTTTGTTGGGCTGATCGACATCCCTTCCTGATAACCTCGACATTTTCGAAGTCAATTTTGTGCCCTGTGTCTAGCGCATGCGTTGTTACTGCCGAGACTCTCAGTAGAGCTCTACACTGAAGCTCGTTCCTCGGAGGTTGTGATATGTACGGCCTATGTTCTGAGATTCTTGTGTGTTGTTCCCTCGCCGTTTGGCCTATGTACACAAATTCCATCAGTGACCAAGTTCATTCCAGCGGACCACTTCATTTTGCCGACCATGTCCGTGATTACCCTCTGACCAGCATTTTTGTTCTCATATGACCTCAATTGAGACCCACGGGTTTCACACAAAGCTAATAACCTTTGACCGCTGTAACTTTTACCAATCGACATCAGTAGGTAGCTTGCACGTGCTTATTTTGAACTGCCACTGCTGGCATTGTACAAGTCAATTTATGGCTTTTGATTACATTTGCGTATCGGTGACAGCCGCTGGCATCAACCCATTATAAGGCGCGTTAACGAGTCTTATCCTCCAGAACCACTGTCATCTGGTAGAAGCCAATCTGCGTGTGCGTGTGCGTCGTTACCGTGAAAAACCCGCCCACAATAACCGAGGTCAACTAGGCGTCTGTGGCAGCGAACTTGAGAACCGCTCAGCCTCAACCTAGCGTGATCGAACAGATGCAATATTTAGTTGCCACAACGGCCGGAACTGAAAATGATTCCACTTAGTGACGAGTGTGGAGGATCGAAATGCATCCGTATAGTTAGGAATAGCCTGATCGCTCAAACAACGGATTCGCATTCCACGTTAAGTCTGATGGTGTAAGTCAGGCTGAATTAATGAGGCTCAGAATGTGACCGATACGCTGGTTTCGTCGGATATTCTGAGCTACTTCAACTGCCCGTTGTGTAGTTTACTTACCAGAATATGCAAAATACTAACCGAAACACTTTATCAGATAGCTAATCTCAGTGCTTAAACATTGGTTTTGGGAAAAACAGATCCTGTGCCCCATCAACCCTGTCTCAGTCTCGTCGTTACGCCAATATTTAAAGTCAGTATCAAGAACCGCCCCAGAGAAGCTGGGCCGCTTACTCTGGCAAATCCTACCAACTTAATCGGGAAAGTCATGTTCGACTTGACGGATATTATCACATTCACGGACGCTTCACCTGAAGTTTCAGCTATGATATCGAGAGCTCAGGACCAAAGACAATCCATTGCATAAGAAAAACCAGTAACGTACTTAACGGTGAACTCAATAAGCACACCGTGAGCGACACACGCAGATCCATCTGTACCGAGCACACACGGAGCGACGCAGGTTTCATCGTTAACTCACTTGGCACCTTCTAAGCAGCCTAATTTACCAGCTACAACTCTAAAACCGACACCCACTAGACAGAACCTCACTGCTTTAACTGTGGTGTGCGCTAACATTCCAAAAGCCAAAGATGGCACAATGAAAAGATTTTTCTAGACGATCGCAGCCAGTTGCTTTCAGCTCCGATGCGACTGTTATTTTTGTTGATCCCATTGTGTTGAGACTGTACAGCTTCACCTGACATCGGTACACTGTGGTGAACCTCGAATTCTTCGAGTAACACTGAACTCAGTAGGTGAGATAAATGCTGTTCTGCACTCAGAAGAACTTCCGCACAACTCAAAGTGTGGGTTGGGCATATTACTTGAACTTTCGGGGAAAGATCGCAGAGGAAAAGCGAGTGACCGAGGCTGCGTTTCAGTAGACTTAAGCAGTAGACTTCAGCAATTTATTAAATACGCTGTTTTAAAAGTCATTCCTGAGGAACAGAACAGGTACATGTGTGTCCCTTAAGGGTTTGGCATGACAAGCACTCAGGGACTGCATACATCCCACATGGTAAATTTTATATGAGGTCGATCCGCAAGGACAAATTCATGCATCAGCAGGAGTTAATGAAGCGATTCTGCACAAACCCTGAACTCCTGTACAGGCACGCTAGTGGCCTTCATAATATGAAGCGCCGATCTCCAGCACTAGTCACGGCTAGTGGTTGCATATGGTCAGTAATGGATGCTAGCTACCACTTACGCCTTCATTACTCCCAAACTTTCCAGCAGATACCCAGCTCAAATATTCTCCTTGTTTCTATTACTGAACCGTCGGGCTACTACAACATCAACTTCATCATGAAAGCTTTAATGAAGAAGTTAAAGTTGTGGATCCACAGTTCTCCTGGAGTAGACAACATTCAATCGAATGATCTGCAGGCAGTAGCTAGCGATCAAGTAGAACCACTGCCGCTTCCCATCAGCGGTCTAAAGGAGAACCATATTCCAGCAGCATGGAAGCGATGGGTCATCACTCCTACTTCTAGTGCTTTCCAAACTTATGGAATCAAACATCGCAGTTGCGCGGATGCAGTATTTGGAAAGTCACAACTTAATCGCCCCAGGCAACACAAGTTTCATCAAAAGCGGTCATGTTCTACTAACCTATTAATTGCATGTAATAGCTCGACTGGAGCTAAGATGATGGAGTTGAAGTTGTTGTTGTTTACCTGGACTTCCCAAAAGCATTTGATCGCTTGGGCCATCGTTTAATCCTCCACAAGCTTTGGAACTACGGCACTGGTGACCCAGTTTTTAGTTGCACAAGCAATTTCCTATACAATCGTTGGTTGGAGGGGGGATTTTGGGAAGCTCTGTCGGAGGCAATTGATTTAAAACTCGATGTACCACAAAGTTCCATGCTTGAGCCTCGTCTATTCTTGGTGTTCACAAACCATCTAGCGAAATCAATTGCTCTCGATTTCTTATTTTTCGCAGCTGATATCAAGATTTGGCGAGTGACCAGAGTACGGTACCATCATGAAGGGCTATAGTGCGATGTTAACACGTTATCGAACTGGTCAGTTCAGTACACTCTACTATCCAATGTAAACAAATGTAACAGTGGAAAAATGGTGTAATGCGGATAAAAAGCCAAGGCTTGACAAGTGTCATGGGATGGTTGTGGTAATAAAGTAAGCTCAATTTACACAAAAGTGCAACACACATTTGTGGACTCACCATATTATCCAGGTTAACACATAGGTATATCCGTCTACCCCGATTTCCTGGGTTTAGTGAGCACAATGTTTGCCTGCGTCTTGTCGTCATTCAACGAAGAGAAATGTGGTCATATAATGTAAATGATGTAAAGCATTGTCCAGTCGTCTTTTAAAAATGGGTAGCATGGGCGCCGAAATGACAAAAGTCGAAAGAGCGTTCCCCAGTTGATAAACTCAAAGGGAAAAGTAATTCCGGCGGCACTCCAGCAGAGTGTATTTGGTGGCAAGTTTCCATTTATGACCCCGCAATTCTGTGTTGCAGCTAAGCTTCAGGTGGCGGCAAGGGTGACCGTGGTTTTTCAAAATCTGAAGTGCCAGGATGAGGTCACCTCGTACACAGCGATATCTTTCGCTGTACACTCCTAGGGCTTTCAGTCGCCTATGATATTGCAAGTGGGACAAACCCACCATATCGGCTTGGGGTCCACATATTGCACACCACCTGCCAGAAAGGTGATCTTGTTGCGCTCGTACAGAGTGACTACAAGTGCTAAATACAATCTCAAGCAGCATGTCGGTCTGCTGTGGAGCGCATTCAAGAGGTGTGACTCATCAAGCTTACCAATGATGTTGAATTCTTACGTGCGCCCTCATGTGGAACACGCCATCCAAGCCTGGTAATCCTGGTTGAAGCATGAGCTAAATGCGTTAGAGACCCTACAACGAAAAGCAACGAAGAATGTCAACTGCCTATGCAACCACTTTTACTAGAGGAAACTAAAGTCGCCAGGTGTTTTCAGCGGGCACTACCAGGAGCTCCACTGCGATATCATGTTAGTGTACAAAATATTGAGCGACCCCAACCACGTATTCAGTCATTTGCTGAAGTTAACCACAACACGTAGCTCAGAGCTAACCGTTTGAATTTGAGGAAACAAATTAGCCGTTTGGAGTGTCAACAGAATAAGTTTTCCTTTCGGATTTGGCAACTCTGAAACGCTCTCCTAGACTCAGTTGTGTCCATCACTACCTTGGACGTTTGCAAAAAAGGATTGAATGTTGTTCTTAGCTCCCAGCACTTCGTTACCTAAACTACACCATTTTGGATAACAATAATCGTGCCCTTCTACCGGATTTATATGTCACATGGACTGAAGACCGCGGCGCAAAGTGCGCGACCATATTTTACTTTTCTCACGCTTCAGATCGATGCTCGTTGCACCCGTGTATTTCCGTATGCTTGTATTCGATTTTTCTTTTACACTAACCTTTTGTATCAATGCATTTATCTTGGTAGACGTTTGGTAGATGACTCACATACCTTTTGCTTCCAAAGTTGCATTTGGAGTACCCCCATGTGGTTGGATTGGGACACGTAATCTCTGATGGGACGTCGGTTCATTCTGATGTATACTTCGGTCATTTCGATCACAGTGACTGTATCCGAAATGAAGGTGTTTCGGTGTTGCGCCATGTCATTGTTGGGAGAAGCGACACGGAAACAGTTTTTGATTTCATTTCATTCACCCAATCATCCTACGAAAGTGTCAAGCGCTTGCTGTTAACCCCTGATAAATCATTGTTCATTGTTCGCAACATAGGTTGGAGACTCTTTCAGGTACGGCCAGTCAGTGACGTCCTTGTATTCGGTTTCTCGCATTTAGCTGTTAATTTTCATTCCTTTCTGACTAGTTCCAAGCACCTTTCTCTTGAATCCTTTTTCTTTCCATACAAATAGTAATCAACCTTATTTGCTTTCCCCTATTGTTCTGACAATGTGAGTCGGGGTAACTGGATCCATCGCAGTATGGTGCCCGGATCATTGTTGTCTTAGGGAAAAGAACTAAACTAGACACCAGGTTCGCAAGAAATGTCACGCAAAGTTTAACATATACCTCAGGCACATCTGAACTATATATTTAGTTAACACAAGCTAAACCATTTTATTTTTCAACCAGGTCAGAAAGAAAACATTTGGTTGCATGTGGACGCAGCATATGCAGGAAGTGCACTTCTTTGCCCGGAATTTCGTCACTTTGCGCAAGGACTGGAAGTTAGTAGATTTTAATTAGCGTTTCACCAGTATTCCTATTTTCCCACACTATTTCACAATTTACCAGACATGAAAAAATGTGAAAGTGTTTCAATTCTGGTTTCTTATTACAGGCAGCATTTTTGTGTGTGTAAAGGCATAAAGAACCTCAAAATTGGTAGTTGATGTTTATACATCAATTGTGGTAATTTGAGAATGTATTTTGCAAGGTATAGCAGACAAGTTGTTCGTGTAAAACGGATGGACTACAAGCACATTCTTTCTGATTTGAAGTGTAAGTGCAAATCTAGATGAGGTATTAGAACAATCTTACTTCAACACAATAACTATCACTTGTTTATTTGTCCAACGATCCCAGTATTACAGGTAAGACATTCACATATCCTAGTATCCTGTCTACATCGAACTACATCCTGTTTGACTAATGATCAGTGATGGATGCAAATCGACTTGTTGCTGTTTAGAAGCCACGCTGAAGAAATCAGCCTTCAGCTATTTCATCTAGGATTCAATGTTATCAAATATCCTCCAGCACTGTTGGTTGCGCAATTAGAATTCCTGGAATTTAACCTAGTAGCATTTTGTTCCCGATGACTGTTAATGTCATATTTAAATTTCGTCCGTTTAAGATTCACAATCCTTGGCTGTTTTTATATAAAAATCGGCAGTGTACCTCAAGTAATAAGTCTAAACCATCTACCTGTGTAGGTGAATGACCAACCGTAATTGTTGATCGGAGAAAAATAAGCTACGTTGCTTAGATAAGGCGAGGGCAGAAGCTTATAAATTAGTACGAAAGCGAGAGACATCTGCCGAGCATGTTGCTTTGTCACGAGATAGTAACGAGTTCGGTGTCTCTAGTCTGCTTACTGTAAAATCTGTCATCTTACGCCCGTCTATGAACTCATACAGCTCAAGTTACATATTCCTGTATTGAAGATTGAAGATCGTCAAATATGAAGTCTAATCTTCTGTTTCAACAACTGTGCAAGCGAGTCCATGGAGTGTGCAGCTCGCGACTATTAAAACTTTATTAATTTGCATGAGCAATCAATACCACACAAGCATTTGCGCAGTTAAAATATGACCTGCAACCTAATGCTGTATAATAGCATGAGGCGTGGTTGCTGAAAATTGAGGTTCCTTATCCTTTGGCTATCTTCTCCAGTGCGTTAAATATCAAAGTAATCATTTTAGTAGGTTGGTAGCTGCATGCATTTTGTATTGTCTCCTCAGTAGCATTACCAAAAGCAGATATGCACAGATATATCGAAAAGTGGTTGCGACCAGACAAGCTTGAGGTGCAGTGTGAAAGACGAAGTTCACTCCTGCGTCCAGGTTAGCCTTTGGTTGGCAATCAAATGTTTTTGAACGCACAGCGCCGGCTTCATCCTGCTAATAGCCACAGCCTCAGCAAGTAAGCGGGGATTTGAGTAACTTAACGTAATTTTGTACTTTGGGCTCAGCGTTTGCGTAAGCAAACTGAGTGTCTGTGTGATCATCAAGTTATTCGCGCGAACGTAACTCATCTTGCATCGATTTCATTGGGGTTTACATAGCACGGCACTAGTTTGAATCTTGTCGTTAGGTATTTAAACCTGGTAATATCGTGTAAGGTAAGATAGTTAATGCATCTGGGGATTGTTCCTAAAAGTGGATAACTTGTATGCAGGAATAACATAGGTCACTATTGCACCCCGTATATTAAAACAAGCCACATTCAATGCTCAGATCTTGAGCTGCTACCTCGTTGTGATATTACCTGATCGCATGCACCCAGCTCGAATAAGCTTATTTGTCCGCAGAACTGTCATGATATTCCAATTAGTAAAAATACTGCAATTTGTGAATAATTCCTGTTTCCATTGTATGAAGACGGTGTAACAAGAGAACTCGGTTCAGATGATTCATCGTCATCATCACATTATAAAAGTTAAGTAAGGATAAATTGAGTCACTGGAAAGAGGAATGTGTCAAAATGTCAAAAACGAGTGTGATTGTTCACATGGATGCTTTGCGGATGATAGCTGGCCTTGGCAAAGTCAAATTCTTGACGAACTGTTTGTGCACACACAACGGGGTATTGCAGGGACGAATCGTGATCGCCTGCGCCAATGCAATGTGTTGTGTGGAACTGCTTGGCCCAACTAACTGAGGTGTCCAAAGCACACTAATTATGTAACTGAATCAGCCGTAAGCAAATATACTTCATCAACTTTTACCTACTTAGCATTCCATAGTGTTGCCTGTTGGAGGGTTGCTTTCTCTGTTTCACTTGTATCTAAAGCAAGTCAAGTCGAAAATTGTTTTTACACAATTTGTAGGGTGAATATTCAGCTACAACATACGACCACATCGAGCGTCTGCTTCGTCCACAAGTTATGTGCTCGATGTTAGTGAACTTCCTCACGTGACTCATTAGGTTGATCTAGTTGTCGTCCACTGTTCCACACTACACTGGCGACAACTGGAAGAAGGCGGATAGTAAAGGCTTCCGGATGTTGTGGTTTATCCGTCGTTCTTTTGGGACCCTAACGGCTGATGTGTTTGTGAAGCTTTTCTCAGCGTTTGTGCGACCCCATTTAGAATATTGTGTCCAGGCCTGTCCACCATGCCTTGTCCGGGACAAAATGGCACTAGAAAGGGTGTTGCGTGTCGGTACTAGGTTGGTCAATGGATTACGAGGGCAAACGTACCCCGAACGCCTACTTCGTTTGGGGCTGTAGTCAATGCACTACCGAAGGATTAGAGGGGACCTAATCCTAACCTACCGTATTTTGACTGGGAAGGTTGGCGCTGATTTGTCCATGCTATTTAGTCCTGCTTGATTAACTGGTCTTCGCGGGCACTGTACGAAGCTGGACAAACCGCGGTCCGATCGAGTTAGAGCGGAGGCACGGTTATCACGTCGAATCATCGAGCGCTGGAACCTGCTTCCAGAATATGTTGTCAAGGAATCTACGGTTAAGGGGTTTCAGCGTCAACTAGACGCACTTGGGTGGCAACACGAAATGTTTCCTTTTTCCTGTCTAATTCCCATCTTCATACTTCGATTCTTTTTTTTACTTTTCCTCGCCATTGGTATTATTCTCTTCTTTTAACTGATTTCCCCTACTCTCTTACCTTCGCTTTTTCTTCCTCACTTACTTCACGTAACTAGCATAGCTGGGACAGTTAATGTAAGGAACGTGGGCATTAACTTGGTGGACCAGGGTGTTTTTCGGGTGTTTTACTTTTAGACCTTTCAAGAAGTCGGAGCACCCCTATCAACTCCTAGGTCCACGACCCGCTTAAGAAGGAACACTTACGGGATTCATCCTATCGTTCCAGTCCCACTTGAACTTGCATTTGAACTTGATTACGGAAAACTATCATAAATCCGTTTGATAAGCAATGGACAGAAACGCCATCCTACTGCGAATCGGCTGGTTAGGTCTAGAACAACAGTTGGGGTCCCGTAGAAATCGCGAAAATAAAGGGATAACCGACGAGCGTGTGTGTGAGCAAGAAGCAGCTTGTACTTCTGTCTTGTAGACGAAATTGATAGACAATCAGATAAAGCGCTGTGAAGCAGATGACTAATATCAGCCAAAATCTTAGATGTCATTTTCTTACAAGTATTGATGTGTGTAAAAAGAAGTGTGCTGGCAGTTTTTAGGCATCGGAATGTCACTGCATCGGAATAAGTGCCGTAAAGATCGCACAATTAACTTAAAATGCTTACCCAGAAGACTGGGAAAGTGACAGGGGAGCAGTAGATCAAACTAGAAGAATCAACACACGAGGGGGAGAAGAGGCTCTTAGACGAGATTCGTAGAAAGACAACCTTCGGCCTTTTGTGAAATTTTCCTTAACTTGACAAGTCCAAGATAAATCATAGTTCAGTATCACTCAGGTAGTTCGCTGATGTAGTAGAGTGTAACCCATCGCTGTCAATAAACAGCCTGTGACACTGTGTAAGCAGTCGCATGTGCCGTGCTGTTTTGTGTACCGGAGAACGAATATCATGGCACTTTGTTGCACGATGAGACAGGTGACGTGCATTGGACCAACTATTGAGGTCGTTCAGATGATGGTGCAGCTTAAGTGAGGAATCGGTGAATCGATGATTAGTGCCCAGGACAATGTCACCGGCATAGTTTAATAAGGTCGCTTCTGTGGGGACTGCTATTGAGCTGACGAAGGTAGAAAAGAGAAAAGGCTCCAGAATTTCTCCCTGAAGAACACTGAAGTTGGTAATAAGTGTGGGGGGGAGTGCATCTGCCACTGGGTCGGGTAATCTGAGTGCGTAAAGCAGAATAATTACTAGGCACATTGAAAATGGAGGGATGGATCCCTTGACTGAGTAGGTCTTTGCGCAGTAATTTGCGGTTTACACAGCCGAATGCATTGCTGTAATCTAGGAAGTGGGTGTTGTGATTCGTTACCATAGACTTATGCTGATGTGTATTAGTTCCACGTTAAATCTAAAGCATCCCCACTGTTTGCAGGTTATCAAGTATTTGTCGGTTTACGCTATACCAACTAGGGGACGTAAGGTTCTTTACCTTGCACATTTTAAAATAAATAGTGGTTAAACTGGTTTTAATGTTTTCAAACCTCTTACTTTTTAGTTCGCTGACTCTATTTGCTTCAATCCTCACAAGCTGATGCTCGTTAACTTTGACTGTGCCATTTTATGGGTTTCCAACTACAAACTACTGACAAGCACATTCGGCATGGAAGCGGTCTATCTGCAAAGCGGACTAACAGGAATGCCGGATTTCAAGGTAATTGTTGATTAACTGTATGTCATTATCATCATCATTATACACGTTAGCTAGAGGTGGGAAAAACCTCAGCTACGTTGTCGTAATACAAAAAAGAAAAGGAAAATAAACACAAAAGCTGCATGCCAGCTGAGCTACCAGCAACGGATACGCATCGTTCCGGTTAGCTATCAGCCGGCTACTAGGAAACAAGAAAAAGTATGATGTAAAGTTATATTACGCTACGAAATGAGATAGCGGTTGGAGGTGGAGGCTAAAAGGGATACGTAGGGACAAAGAAACTCACAGCAGGAACGCCACTGAGGTCGGCTTTTTGCCATGTCAGCAAGTGCATCTAGGCAAACTTGTTCATCGTCTTTTGGACCCCAACCAGGGAGCCATGAAAATTCAACCGAGGCCAGCTCCGAAGTGAGGGCCTTCATTCCTCCCGACCAAGTCATCGCTTGGCCACCCACGGTGAGCGATCAACGCACCTCGCGGAAGTCGGTGGGCTGGCATGCGCAACACGTGGCCGAGCCATCGGATCCTGGTGCGTGAAATAACGGTGCTGAGCGGTTCAGTTCCTTTTTCTGTGCCATAAACAAGGCGTCGAACACGCTGGTTGCTCACGCGGTGTTCCCACCAGATGTGAGCCAAACTGCGAAGGCACCGGTGGTCGAAAGTAACTAGCATCCTTATGTCCGCTGATCTAAGGGGCCAGGATTCGCAACCGTACAGTAGGGTCGAAGGTACGGCTGCATTATACACTCTACCCTTCAGGGCGAGAGTAACGTCGCGCCGCCGCCATAGGTGACGAAGACTAGTAAAAGCACATCGAGCTTTTGATCTACGGTTCGTGATCTCATCTTCAATCTCACGAGCGCTGATACAACTTCCCAGGTAGTTGAATTTTTCAACGACTTCTAACTGATCCACATCAAGGGTCAGCGAAGGAGGCGGTCCAGGTAAAATCTTGGAGAAAAGCCTTGCACTGCCAAAGTACAAAGCAAGTCCGAATTGGCTAACAGCCAGTGGTAATCTGTCTAGCGCTGCTTGGCACGTCTGGGAGCTGTCACAGATGAGGGCAATGTCATCTGCATACTCCAAGTCAAGAAATCGTTCTCTAGGGACTGGCTCTAGACCTTCTAAGTCGTGTCCTGTGAACGCGATTCCCATGACTTGGTCAATAGTGAAGTTGAGGAGGAAAGTAGACAACGGTCATCCTTGTCCCACACTGCTGGAGATATTGAAGCGCGGCGACAGCTTGACGTAAGCCCTCACTCTGCCCGTGCTACGCCAGTAAAATGCTCCGATAATGTTTACATATTTCTCAGGTACACCATTCTTGATTAGACAGTCCCAAAGTGTACACCTATCCACCGAATCGAATGCACCTTTGATATCCAGGAACACGAAAACGCTGGGTCGCCAATATGTGTGACGGTGCTCCAAAAACTAACGCAAGGTAAAAATGTGGTCGATGCAGCGACGACCCTGACGAAACCCGGCTTGCTCCTCACGAATCTAGCTTTCACGAGTGCCAGTCAGTCTGTGAAGGATGACAGAGGCAAGCAATTTGGAGGCGATGGAGATAAGACTGATTCCTCTATGGTTGCCGCATTCCGAACGCGAGCCTCCTTTGAAGATGGGAATGATAACGGAGCGGCTCCAGTCGGTTAGGACAGTTTCCTGCCCCCACAGTTTCATTAGTAATTCATGTAAAACATCAAGGAGAACAGAGCCTCCTAATTTTAAGAGGGCTGGATGAAGATCACCTGGTCCCGCGGCTTTGTTCAACTTCAACAGTCTGATCTCATGTTTAACTTCTGAGCGAGATCGTGGATCCAAAGGGACAGCCCACGGAGCAGGGCGATCACTGGCCGGTGAAAAATCGAACAATTCCGGTCGATAAATTGCTTTTCAAAGTGCTCAGCCCAAAGCTTCAAAGGTTTTGACAAATTGTGAATAGGCTCTCCACACTCGCCACAAACTGTTTCACTAACACCATGTCTCCTGCTGCCCGTTTCCGGCATCAGACGGAAAAATTTTGATGGTTACCAAGAGCAGCGGTTCCTTCCATCTCTGATGAATAAAGAGACTACCAAGATTCGCGGTCTCTTTTCAGGCTGGCACGGAGTATGGCCCGGAGCTCTTTGTGAGTTTCGTTGTGCTCACTTCCAGCCGGGATATGCCGGCAAGCAGCGAGAAGTCCTAGCTACCGCGAAGAGACCTAATGTCCATGTTGGTGATTAGATTTACCGCATGAGGATTTGCTTGCTGCTAGTAAGGTCTAATGAACATGCGAGCAGGGACCTTCAATTGTCTCCAGTGAGCGATCAGTCAACTAGCATGTGAAGGTACTTTGACACTCATTCAGAACAGCCGATTTCGTCAGTTGGCAAGTGTCAATGAGCTCACAACGTCGTGGGCGTCTGCCAAATCGCATCCGCATGTCAGCACATACAAGTGCATGCTCGGTGTCCACACATGTGCTCCAAATCGTGCGACAATTCTGGATGCAGCCTCTCCAGCGGTAACTGATGGCAATGTGATCGATTTGCGTCCATAGCTGGTTCGCGGCTGGTGGGCGCCAAATCCTTCGGAAGCCGTGTCGGAAATTAGTGCTCGCAAGAAATAAGCGAGCATCTTCACACAAATGAAGTAACCGCTCACTGTTATCATTACGGGAGCCTACACCGTGCTGACCGCCCAGATGCCTTTCCAAATTGTGCGTCCAGATCCCCAGCCAACACAACAGTGTCCATGCTTCATCTGTGGCGAAGGAGCTGGGTCAGTTGGCAGTGAAAGTCGTTCTTTACCGAATCATCGCTACAGTTTGTGAGCGCGTAGGCAGCGATGATGAATTGACACCTATTTTTCCCGCGCAAATTCGAAGCTTTGAAGGAGCCAGTTAATCTAACCACACGTCCGGCTACTGATTGGAATCCAATCAACCAGAGCAGCTTCAGCCCCGGGGACTCAGGGCAATACCAACACCGGCTTGGCCGATGCTCGAAGCTGCATCGTCACCGGATAGGCGCAATGAGAAAACACTGCTGACGTCACCTGATGGGGATAGCAGAGTGAGCACAGAGCTCTAGTCTTGCAGGCGGGTCTCCGATGAGCATCAGATGTCAATCGAGAGGGTCTCCACTGTTCGGACAAGTGCTGCCTGTTGACCGATCTGTAGTAATGTGCGTACATTGAGGCATGCCAATCTGAAGGAGGATCGAGGGTTCCAAATGGAAACCGATGAACTGGAGTGGACCGCTTGGTTAAACATGGGCTTTTCGACAGATGAGTGACGCTCCGCGTTCACATGTGATTTGAAACTAGAAAATAAAAGCCTAGCAAAGCATTTTGGGGGAGGGCCAAGAATCTAGGGGTTGAAAACTGGGGAGATAAAAGTGAAGTTGGAACGGGACCATAAGGGTGAAATGGCGCAAGAGGGGGAATAAGAAGACGGGAAGGCTTGAGCAGTAACGTCCAAACCCCATCCACCCTGCTCGATGCAGCAGATAGGGCACCGTTAATTATACTGTGCCACGGCCAGAGAATCAGGAAATTATTTGAAGAAATATTCTTAGGATTGTGTGGGCAGGATACTGTCAGGTTGCTCAGGCCTAGACAGGAGAACGATTAGGGTTCTCAATCAAAGCCTTTGTTTCAAAAACTTTGCCGCAAGGCAGAGGGTTTGGCGTTGGGCTACAAAAAGTCCGTTTTAAGGAATAAGGTGCCAACTACATTTCAACCCCCAACCTGGAGGACCAAGAGGCTGAGTTTGTCTGGCCTCTAACCATTGACCAGTCTGGTATGAGTGACTCTGAAGGTGCAAAAGCACCACCCAGCATAGCTCAATGGATCACTGAGGCATACAAACCATCGCACCACGGTAAGGTCCAGACTCTTTGCGATGGGATGTTCTCTTTTATGCTCTTTGCTTCTGATCACCGTTCTGTACAAGGAACCGCAGTGGCATCGTTTTAGAATGAGTAAGTTGCGAGATATAATAATTTTCACATAGAAGAGGAGAGAGTGCGATTCCTTTACACTAACAAGGTTTATAACATTTGCTAATATTTTAGTAACTTATTACTTTAAAGTACCTAGCCTGAATAAGAGCACACAGAGATCACTCATTAATTATCACCACCATGTTGTACATCCCGATCTTCATATCTAACACACAGATTCACCAACATTTTACACTAACAAGGCCCGCACAGCAGATAATCTCGTTTCAATGATTCACTATCAGGCTTTAAGTACACAACTTC